TTGAAGAAGTTGAATCGTATGCTTGGGGTTTCGTGGCAACGGGCAACAATGCATGTGCCCCAGTGAGACGGTTTGATGGCATCCCCGAAAATTTGGGAGCTTATCAAACAGGTGAATCTATAGTTTTCATTGTGCTTTGGATGTTTAAACTACTTTGTACATGTCGCTTTACTAGAGAGTTCTTCATTCTTCGTTATGCTTTCTATTTACTTGTGTAATATTATTTGCTTATGTTGGTTTATTTGTAACCTTATATGATTGTAGTTAATACATTGATGCTAATGTGTTAGTCATTTCGATACCGAAATACATTAATGCAACTAGAGAAAAACGCAGAAGGAGAGTTGCAGTTGCATTTTGGCGCTCCCCTTGTATGACATCCTCATATGTTAGCGCCCGTGTCATGCTTGTATTTGCTTATGCTTGATATACGAATATTATAATTCATACATAGAGAGCTCATCTTGTATGTCATCCTCATATGTTGACGACAAATGGATTGGGGAATTGTTTGCGGGCCACCCAAGCATGACACGAGCGGTATTCACTGATCTGTTAGAGAAATTGCACAGAAATCATGGACTTCATGTCTCATCCAGAAAGACTTCGTGAGAGGTGTTGGCAATAATCATCTACATATTATCACAGAATGAATCAATGTGATGATTTATCGAGCGAATTCAACACTCTTCTGAAACGATTTATAGATATTTTTCAGTATAGTTGAATGCACTTATAAGTTTTTCTTCACAAGTCATAAAACCAATAAATCTTACATTTGAACAGACCTATATAGAGATTTCACACGATGCGACGCAAGTCTTACTTTAAGGTAATTTCTCATATTTATTACATTTAATTTTTATATAGATATCATAATTACATAACCCTTTGTTATCTTTCTAGAATTGTATTGGAGTAATCTTGAAACACACATTAATACACGTGTTCCAAATAATGGAAGATCGCATTTATCGGTCATTATGGGTCCCCAACGTAGAATGTCATGGCGGTATATGAATTCACCATATGCTTCACTTTTATCATGGCCGATTGGAGGACAATTTACATGATGATTTAATTTTCAAATCTGCAATACGAAAAGACAAATACAACTTCTCACATCCACCCACAACTTTACTTGAGACTGAGCTACTCTTCTAAGTTTTTTCCTTCAACGTTAATCATTAAATTCGCATCAAGTAAATATTATTTGGTCGATGTTGGATATCTGTTATAGTGATGGTATCTCAAGCTTTATCCTCATATGAGAAACCACATACATGATTTTGAGAGGGTCAACAACGTCGCGCGAAACCGGAAAGAAATGTTCAACAAAAGGCATTCGTCATTACGCGGTGTTATTGGAAGGACTTTTGGTGTTTGGATGAAGCAATGAATTATTCTTCGCGATATGTCATTTTACCCGTTTCTCAAACAAGTATAGATTATAATTGCCTTGATAGCTCTCCACAATTATAATTGGTGGAATCATTTTCACAACGATATTGAATTTTGTGAAGCAAATGAGGATCATGAACATGTCTCTACTGAGGCATATTAGTACCGTTTTGGATAGACTTTGTCACAGGTCGAAAATGATGTTCCTGAGACCTATACTAAAGACGCCGAAGATGCAAGTAAGATAGCAGAGTTGACGGAACGAATTACGAATGTGATAGTTGGAGGGTCGTTAGAGTTTTTATCATATTATTAATTATAATGGTTGTTGAAGGATTCACTGTTTATTGTGTCAGTATTTTATATGGTTCATGTTTATTTTTATTTCTTATATATTTTGATATTGATTGTTTTGGTTATTTACACTATTTGTAAGTGTCTTTTTTTATTTTTGCATTTTTTTATTTTTTTGGTGGGTTTTGGAGATTTATAATGAGACGTTTTATTTTATGAATTTTTCTAGATAGTCTTTTTTGTCGCTATTAGTTTGTGTCACATGTAAAATCTTAATGAAGGCAACCAAGTTAATCTTTTTTTTTTTTGTGTTACGGTTTTTTGTGACTCATCTGAATGATTTTTTTGGGTGATATGCACATGTGACACACACGAACTTGGTATTACGTGAGTTAAAGGCAACCAAGTATCCCTTTTTTATAAGGTTTGTTGTTTTCTAGTAGTGACATATTCATTGATTTAAATACTGAGTTCTCAGAGGCCTCACAACTGCATAAAGCTATAACGAATTACTTCTGTTATTAATTTTTACTTTTTTTTTTCTTCATTTTAGTAATCATATTATTCACTGTTAAGTGCAGTGTCTATCTATTTTTTTATAATGTTCTACACTGAATTTTTTTGCTTTTAAAATATAAAATGTATTAGCATGAATAGTTATGTTGCAAATAGCATTACTATACATTGACAGAATGATCATTTGTCCAGAAACAACTACAACACAGTTATTTTCAAACTGTAAAAAACAAACAGACGGTCAGTTTATCCGCAACAGTTTCCTATGACAGCTGTTGCGCAACAGCTTATTATCAAACTGCAGCTTCCCCAAACAGACCCTTAGTTTCAACCCAACATTGTAGATTCCTCCTACGTCTACTATCACAATAACAATATTTAGATTTACACATTAAATTATCTAGAAGACATTTTAATGATGGGGAATGATTCAACACATCCATGATGCTCTCAACAGCCTATAGAGAAAATTCAAAATGAAGAATCTGGGCAAGGCAATATCTCAACATTTCTTGGTATCCAAATCATCTCAACTACCTCTGGGTTACATATAAATCAAACCTCCTATGCTGAATAAATTCTACATACATCTTGCATGTTGGATTCTAAGCATGTCAGCAATCCGGCATCTCAGAAAAGCTCCCTTAAACACGTTGATCAAAATTAGTTCCAAGATTCCTCATTCTACTGTAAAGTTACTGGCTCGTTGCACTATCTTACAATCACGCGACCTGATAGTGCTTATGCACTGATTCAGGTAAGTCAATCCTGCAGCAGCCATCTCAAAGTAACTTTCAACAATTGAGAAGACTTTATGGTACATTCAAGGCACAAAAAATCTGGGTTTACCTATAATAAGAGAAAATCTCAATCTCACTGCTCATGTGAATTCTGATTGGGCTTAGGATCCCATAGATTAGAAGTCAACAACTAGATTTTGTATCTTTCTAGGACCTACACTCATTTCTTCGTTTGTAAAAAACCACACCATGATTGCTCGATCCTCTACTGAGGTTGGATACAGAGCGTTGGCTACTATTGCAAAAGAGATAGTTTGGCTCAACCATTAACCACGAGAATTCAAAATATCCACCACTGAACCAACTACATTGTACTTTGACAATACTTCAGCTATAGCTCTCGCTAATAATTTGATGTTTCATGCAATATCCAAACACATCAAAATAGACTGTCAATATATTCGGGAGTGCATAAAAAATCATCTTACTATGTGTTGAGAATTAGACCTTATTTATGGTCCTATTGGGAAAAAAGGAAATCTTAAAGAAGCCTAAGGGTTTATTTGTAAAATCTTGTAATATAATATATAAGCCCATCTTATGAATGTACAGATTAGATTTTGAGCAATTTTTTCTATTTGATATCAGAGATTGGTGGGTCGTATGATTTATCAGTGTCGCACTCGAACCGATATCTCTTTTGCAGTGAGCATGATGAGATTGGTGGGTCGTATGATTTAAAGAAGCTTACATGCATGATCCTAGGAAGAGTCATATGGATGCACGACATCAGATTCTGAGGTACCTGAATAATGCACTAGGGAAGAAGTCGATATTCAAGAAGAATGGGCATGTTGAAATTTGAGTGCTTTTGTGATGATAATTGGGCGAGTTATGCAGATGACAAAAGATTCACCTCGGTATACATGTCTGTAGGGGACAACTTGGTCTCTTGGAAGAGCAAGAAACAGTCTGTAGTAGCAAGTTCAACAGCACAGGTAGAGTATAAGGCAATGGCTTTAGAAGTTTCTGAGATGATGTGGCTGAGAGCCCTGTTGGTCAAGCTCAGGGTGGACCAAGGAACTCAAATGAAGTTGTGTGATAACAAGTCAACAATCAGCATTGCCAACAACCCGGTGTAACACGATAGAACAAAACATGTGGAGATTGATAGATTTTTTATCAAGGAAAAGCTGATTAATGGGCTACTGGAGCTAAGTCATGTAACCGTTGGAGAGCAAGTGGCCGACTGCCTAACTAAAAGATTTAGTTCATTAGATTTATCTAGGTTATCTCACAAGATGGGCTTAGTGGATATCTTTTGCCCATCTTGAGGGGGAGTGTTGAAATTTGGACCTTATTTAGGGTCCTATTAGACCAAAAAAAAGGGGGAATTGAAAAAGTTTAGGGGTTTATTTGTAAAACATTGTAATACCCTATTTAAGCCTATGTTACGAATGAATAAATTAGGTTTTGAGCATTTTTTTTCAATTGTGTTCATCATATATCTACAATGGACCAGCTTGTTGAACTATTTACAACGCCTCCCACAAATACTACATTTCAACATCTTCGTACGAAACTAACACTCTCAACTGAACTGACAAAAAAGCCTACTTCAAGATTTCTGTATTTCTGCTCTTGTGCCGCTAGTGTTGCAACATTTACTCCATAACTTCTTTCTGTTACTAGCTCTTCTATATACAGCTTGGTGTATTACCTTTGCACGTACGAATTCCAATAACGCATTGAACGGAATTGTTCTATATTTTTTCTATTTCATGTTTGTGTTCTCTCTGCGTATTCGAGAGCTTCAACAAAGTAAGGAAGAAAACTAAGGTTTTGCAGAGAAGTAGAATTAATATTGAAAACTTAACACAGAACAACTTGAACTAACTACAGAAAGCAGAAACTAGGTTGCCTTTTTTCACTCCACCAGCTCTCTAACCTGCCCAAACCTGTTTTAATCCCACAACTTTCGACTAAAATATCAACATTGCTATGAAAAAAAGGTGGAATTAAGATGTCTAGGAAGCAAAGATTTTTCACCTTCTGCGGGATTGGCCGGGAAACCATTCGCCGGTGGAGCCTTCATGATCTGTCTTAAATTTCCCCAATAAATTAAAAATTAAAACAGAGAGAGAACCATCTGTCTCCCTGAACGAAAACTCCGCCAATGTGTTCTAGAGAAAGAGAAAGAAATTTACACTTCCTGCTTTCCAAGTCCTTGAAAACTTCAGCTTCAAACTAAATCCATCCGGCATGCACTTTTAAAAGCAAGGGCATAAGATGACCAGCGAAATGGTCAAATATACGCCGAGAAGGGTCTGAGTAGGACTCCGGTGATGACGTCATCGCCGTAAGAAGATTCTCCGTTCTAGTCGGCACGAAAGGGAGGCGGAGCGGTAGAGGTTGAAATAGTGACGACCCACCGACCGCTGCTGAGTAATAATAAAATAGATCTGATTTTGGTGGTTTCGTATACGACTGTGGTTCGCTTTATAAAACTATAATTGGTAGTTTATTTTGCAACTAATTGCGAGTATTCAGGAGGTGGACTTGCGCGCATGCTTTGGACTGTCCGACAACATTGCGGGGTTCCCTCAGTTGGTTTTTGGCCTTCTACATTACAATCACGTAAATGTGGATAAGTGTTAAATTAATTTTAAATTTGACATATTTATATTGAAATTGATCAACTTGATGAGAGCAATCCAACAAGCTTAAAATCGCTCAATTTTTAAGGTGATTAAGGCACCTAAAATCTCAAAAAACAACACATGATCCAGGAGATCAATATAGATCTTCTGATTAGGTGGTTAGGGAAGTCACATACCAAAAGAACATAACGCCATTCTTAAAAAAAATGTTAATAGGTTATGTGTTGAGAAGAGAATAGTTGGAGAAGTGAAACCCTAATATCTATTATTCTAGAGAGAAGGGCCCCCTCTTTGTCACTATCAATATATTGTCCCCGACTAACGATTATCGGTTATCAACGACCACTTTTTGCAACTGTTACAAGGAGAGTATGATTGTTATTGAATTTCTTAACACCTATAAGTGTAGTTTTTCAGTGTAAATTTATAATATAATTTCTCCTATTGTGAGAGAATGAAGAACTTTGTATCTAATATATTACGTTGATTGGGTTAAGCTCCAAGATTTTTCCCTTTTTTGAATTTTCTACATAAATAAACTCAATATTTCACGCGCTAACTTTCTTTCATTTGTATGTGTTGTATCTTTAAGCAAAACTAAGGCGTTAAATTATCACACTATCGCATTGAATTTTACAATTATTGTTAATCTTAATTAGATTTCTATCTTTTACATAATTATAATAATATTGAATTAAATTAATTTTATTATTATTAGAATACTAATAATAATAATAATAATAATAATAACTGTTGTGAGATATGTACTTTCTGGCATAGAAATGAGACGAAAAAGAACACAAGCAAACACAGATCGTTTACGTGGTTCGATCCAACTGGATCTACGTCCACGGGAGGGAATCAATCAAATATTTCACTGAGGCAAAAGAAATGGAGAATACATAGCTTATACATAGAGATGAGCCCTCATCTTCCTTCTATGGCCTCCCTCTCAAGCGACACCTTGATACAAGGCCTCAAGATGCTCTCCTCCTCTCTAACTCTATAGCTATTCTCTCATCTTTTGTGGTAGCTTAAGATCTCTTCTCCCTTTCCTCTCCTAAGCCTCACACCCTTAAGATTTCTTCCCTTGCTCCCCTAAGCCTCACACCCTCTCTATTTATAGAAGCAAGAGAGTGGTAGGTGGGAGGTAGGTGAGCGGTAGGTGA